ATTTAATGCCGGGCGCACATCGCTCTTATTGATGGCTCAACCATCTCTATCTAAGTATTGATCTATATGCTCATTTAATGTGACAATTGAGCTATGAGAATTGTCCCACATCAAAGAGATGTGGGACACAAAAGCCATATAAAATGAGTTCAACAACATTGATATCAATCGGTGCAAGGTCTCAATGATGTTATACTATCATATTGGTTGTTTAAAGGCTTTTTAATAATAAAATGATAATGAATCAACGAAAAGTCTTTTTAATAATAAAATAGTAATGAAGCAACAAAAGGTGATGTCAGGATCAATGACCTGTGTAATAATAAAATGGTAATGAAGCAACGAAATGTGATGTCAGAATCAATGAACTGTGAGATCATGTCACATCAGCCTGACATTAAAATGTTGCTTTTTTTTAGATCCAGAACGACTTAAATGATACCAGATTGGATCGCCGATTTTTCAAACACTGACTTCACCATTGTTTTCACATTGCTAGCATGAAGTTTATGCTAGGATGGAGTTTCGGAGTTTGGTGAACGCCCATCCTCGAACCAGCTGTTACTTGGAGTTTAGCTATCTAGAGGAATCTAGACTGTCTTTTGGATGGAGACCAATGTTTGATAATTGAAACCTTGCATTCTGGACTCTATTGGGGCTTGCTGGGCTCATGCTGGATTCATCTATTTTTGGACCAATCCTTCACTGCTTGTATTGGGCAGTTCTTGTTTCTCCACTCAAGTTTGGTGGTGGTTGAAAACTTTGATGCCATTTTTTTCATGTGATTTACGCCATTTCAAGAAATCAGTATTTGAAATCTTCGCCTTGTCAACTTGGAAATGTAGAATGGTTTCCCACTCTATGCATCCTTGGCAACATTCATGAGCTTGTCCGATCTAAATTTATAGAAGTGTCTGATCTCTGTTTCTCAATTATCTCAATTGATTTAATCATTATAGTGTTGTATTCACTGATGCATGTTTTCATGAATTTACCCTGAAATAGAGGAGCTTTGTGGTTCCACCGTTTTCAATATTTGACTAATTGAAGGAAAAATCAGTGGCTACCTGGTTAGATTGGAATCCGCAATTGGCCGGTTCCACTTTCGACGAGTTTTGGTGACTGACGTATTTTTTAAAAATATATAAATTCCTAAAAAATAAAAATTTTTGTTTGTAATGCATTTTTTAATGCTTTTCAACTTCATTTGGATATGCTTTATTTAATCATTTTTAAAATAGATTGTTCATATGTTATTGATTTTTTATTATTTTTTTAGTAATTTTTTTGACCTTCGGGATTTACCCGATTAGAACGGTTGAACCGACCGATTAGGCCGGTTAAACTGCTTCTTGGCCTATATCTGGTTAACTGTTTTGATTCGATTTTTTCTGCATATTTGATTTTCACAATATGAATAAATATCACATGTTAGAATTTATCACAATATCTTGTCAGACCTTTCTTCTTAGGCATCACCGCTTTACTCAAATTATTCACTTGAAAAAGAATTGCTTGCTCTTTGGGGCAATGTTCAAACCGTAAATATTACCTAAAACGCATCTTTGAAAACTCTTTTGGGTGAGGTCCTAATGGAGGTTCTAATCAATTCCTCCTCCCCCAAAACGATCTAAGGCCACCCGTTCGAACTGACATTGTCAACAAGTGATTTTTAGCTTCTCTGAAGCTCAAACTTAATCTTATTTGGAGGGACCACCCTAAAAAGATTAGTTTTCTGGCGTCTCCAAGAACTTCAAAAACAATCGCCCAAGATCAGAAAAAATGAGTTTTAGCACCAAAAATGTTCTTAATCTGTTGAGAACCCGGGACCCATGGTAAGATTGAGACGTGGGTGGATTTACAAAATCGTTGATAAATGTTCCCCATCTTCAATTTATACAACCCTTTCATATTTCTTGTTTAATTTCTCTCAATTTATTAGTTCTTCATGTGCTCTTGGGTCATGTTTGTTTCTTGTGAAATCGCTTTTTTGAGGCTTGAGAAAAATTGATTGCTCATGTAACTTTTCTAACAGAATGGGAAGCACTTTCACATCTAAAACAGGGGGAGCGTGTTTAACCGGGAAAGGCTTTCCGGTCCGTAACTAGGGCTGCCAAAGGTCCGGGCTGGGCCCGGGCTTCCAGGGCATTTTTGGGCCTGTTTCCAGCCGTGCCACAACAAAGACACTATTTACCGGAGGAGCCGGGTCCTTTGGACACAGTTTTCAGGCCGAGTCTTACTGTGCCTGCCAGAGAAGTTTCAAGTCCCAGCTGCAACTAGGGCTGCCAACAGTCCCGGCTGGGCCTCGGACTTCTGGCCGTTTTTGGGCATAATATCTGCTGTTTCGGGCTCGGCCACAAGAAAGATATTCACCAGACCAAGCTGGGCTTTTAAGCATATTGGCTTTTCGAGCATAGTTTCAGGCCGGGTCTTACTGGGCAGGCCATGGTAGTTTCGGGCTTCAGGCCGGTCCAGGCCAGTCCTAGCTGCAATACAAACTCACTCTTCCCCAAAATTGGTAGTCCAGCCAGCCGGAAAGAACTTTCTCAAAAGTTTTCTTGAGCGTATCAAGGCCACTGTAGTTGCCTTGAAGAAAAGATCATCATATTTCCGATTAGATTTGTCAGGGTTGAGGGTGCCTGGTTCATGTTATGCATCAGATAGTAGAGATGCTTACGAATTTAGAGAGAGGGCTTTCTCAATTGTTACTAGTGAGATCTTGGTTTTGTTAACCACTCACAGGCACATATTACAAGAGAAAATGATAGCTACCTACCGCAACTTCAGCTTTACATCTACAATGGTGCATATCTTCTTGCAGCAACTCTCCTGGATAACGACCCAGTGACCCACATGTTGGTGCAGCCTCTCTCTCTTATTTAACCCTCACTCCGACCGGGTTTTGTTGATGTTGGCACCCTCTACATGAATGCAGAAATAGAGCTAATAAAAATACGGATCATCTAAGTGGTCCTTTTAGCAATATAAGCATATTGATCATCTGGTGATCTTCCAACAATCAGCATAAAAAGAATCCAAATGTAGGGTATGAGCATTTATTATCGGATGCTTCACACCATCAAATATTGGTATGTAACAAAATACTGTGTTTTGAAAGTCAGTGGGTTGAACCAGGATTGGCTTGACCCCGAACCAACCAAGGTCTAGGGAAGCGTAGAATGCCTGGTTCCCCCGATTTGAGGGGTGATGGACCTATATCGGGAAGCCTAGAATTGCGTAATTCCCTTGATTTTTACTTTTTTTAGTTGCATCTCTAAATTGTGTTGAGGGAAGCCTGGAATTACCTGATTCTCTTGATTTTTAATGTTTTTAGTTACATCTCTAAATTGTGTTGAGGGAAGCCTGGAATTGCCCGATTCTCTTGATTTTTAATGTTTTTAGTTACATCTCTAAATTGTGTTGGTGGGGCAGTAAGCGTAAAACTCTACAACATATTTTTATCAATTCTAAAAATAATATATGATTCATGTAGCCGACCCTAAATAGTTGGGATAAAGTTCAGATGATGATGTTGATGACAGAGACACCTCTAAATTGATTCTACCTGCTGAACCGACCCAAACTAGTTTGGCAGGTGACTGGTGGATTTTATACATGGGAAAGGTTTTTATGCTTCAAATCAGTGTATGTGTGTGAGAGAGACCTCTTCCTCGTCATGGTTGGGAATCCAGTCGTTAGTTGCAGGATTGCTTCTCACTCTGATTGCTCTCGATGCCTCTGTTGTAGATCCACCCAACTGGAAGAAGCCCCGTCTATTTCCGTCTTCTTCCACCCTTATAAATCCTTTCCCTATCTACAACCATAGAACATCGTATCATCAGTTTTCCTGTCCATAACATAACAATGATTATTAAGGGAGAAATCCATCGAACTCGTCTTGTTTCCTTATTATTACCGTGTGATGCTGCTTGTCAACGGAGTTCAGCTCCTCGTAATACCCTGTCTTAACAAATTCCTCAAGCAAACTCCAATTCTCCAAGCAAACAGGCTTCAAAAACACCAAAAAGTATCTTTTGCTTACCATACAAAACAAGAAAAGAGTAGCAAAAAGGTGCTATATATTTTGTGCTACATATTTTTATCAAAAAAAGAGAAAAGAAAGATAAATTTATCAAATTACCTCAGATGAAGGTCTTATCTACATCTTTTGATTTAATTTAAAAAAATATATAGAAAAATACATTATCTAGAGGTAGAATAATAACAAATGATTATATCTTTTGAATTAATATCAAAATAGCTATAGAATGGTCTCATTTACCTTGACGAGGTCACAATTATTTAAATGCAACCATCCAATTTCATATCTAAGCCCAGCTTAATTGTGCTTGTATTAAAGGTAAATGGTTTCATTTTATACTTTTCTATAACAACAGGTGATCTTGAGTTGGACTAGTAACGAATACGTAGAATGTTAATTAATTTATCTCTTATTGGTATTTTAAATTTCCAACAAAAATTGCTATACATCTAACAATGTGTAAATAGATACTAAGCAAACAAAAATATGGAGATGTATTTACGTAAAAAAATATGTAGATGCAGGAGGAGGGCTACCAATTCTAGACCATAGTTCTTGAGACTGGACCCGACAATCCAACCCATTCACCCATTTTGATTCAAAGCAAAAATCGGGTTAGATCTTAAAATTGGATTATCTCGTTTTAGCTGATTAGATCAACTATCCCTAAAATTCGGTCTAACAGGCACCAGTTTAAGCCAATTATGATAACACTGCTTGCTCTCTATGGATCTCGAAT